AGGTATAATTTTAAGTATTCCTATGCTGCATATTAGAAATATCTTATTAATTGACAACTTTTCTTAAAAAATTAATTTTCATTCTTTATTTTTCAAAAACCTGTGGCAAAAGCATGAAGTCTTCAGAAGACATCCCGTGCTTCTTAGAAGAAACCTAGGGGTGTTTGCATTCTAAAATTTGGTCATTGCCTGAATACATTTTCATTTTTTAAAAATTTGTGGCAAAAAGCAGGAAGTGTTCATAAGACTCGCCATGCCTCTTAGAACACTGGGGTGTTTGCTTTCTAAAATGTGGTCATTTTATGGGTGTCTCCACTGTCTTAGTGCTCCAGGGCCTCCAAAAATGTGATAGGTAGTCAAGAAATTAGATGTATGGCTAGGTCATGAAAAAGTCTCACACATATGGTATTGCCATACTCAGGAGGAATAGCAGAATGTGTTTTTAGGTGCAATTTTAAATATGCCTATGCTGTGTGCGAGAAATAACTTGTTGAAATGAGAACTTTGGGGGGAAAAAAAATAATATTATCTGCGTTCATAATTTTCCAAAAACTTTGGCATAAATTATATCTTCAAGAAACTCACCTTGCCTCTTACTAATTGCCTGAGACTGTATTCTTTCCAAAAATTGGTCATTTGGGGTATTTGTACTGTCCTGGCATTTTAGGGCCTTAAGAAATTATATAGGTAGTCAGTACATCAGGACTGATCACTTTTCAGATATATATCCCATAGTTCATAGACTGTATAACTTTCACAAAATAATATACACTAATTTGGATATTTTCTACCAACAAATAGGTGGCAGAATACATTTTGGCCTAAATTTCTGAAATATTAATTAACAGTGACAGTGACATTTTAACCTCTCCCCAAAACAATCCTACAATCATTGGTGGTCACTGGCACTTTAAATCTTCCCCAAAACAACCTCACAATATTGGTGGTTGCTGGCACTTTAAATCTTCCCCCAAAACAATCCCATAACATTGGTCGATGGCTCTTTAACACTCCACCTTCAATTTTGGCTTTGCTCTTCTAGTCAGAGGAAGAATGGAATAATTAATTATTTGCTCTCCAATCAGCTCCATGACTTTAGCCATGCTGTCCACTGTCTAATAATAAAGAAGGCAGAAGATTTGTGTATGCACAAAAAGTGCACACATTAGTAAACAACAAAGATATAAGGGTATGGCCACCCACCCCAGTAAGGGTGCCATCTGCCAGTTTAGCTAAATGACTGAAATGATTAAAAATTATTTTTGCCTGTACAAATATGTCCACACATGCAGGGCTAATAAGAAAATGTACTCCAGCACTGCAAAGCAAAGGACTAATGTAAATGTAAATGTAAGCAGTGTAAACCAAACCAATAAGATTCTCCTATTCACATTCATATCATATCACTTGAAAAAAAAACATTGAAAAAAAATTGTAGCCAGCAACAATTAAGAAATAGGTATGAGCCAAACTGCCCTTGGTTAGGTTTGACCAGGATTCCACAAATTTCAAAGAAGTTCAGATGCCACATGCGAACCCCACTGAAGTCAGTGTGCGCCAAATCTGTCAAATTAGAAATTCCAATTTTCTGGGCTAATAGGCAAGGGGTTGACAACAAAATAGCTAGGAGGGGGTGGGGGGGTTAAAAGTTATATAGATATTCCTCCTATACAATCTGTTTTTTGGTTGGGCCCACAAAAAGAGCAAGAGATTGTCCCTGACATCGGTCCTTTGGAATAATATCACACTTATACTCAGTCACACCAACATCTCTACACCATACTTTGGTGTCCCCACATTTCCTTAAAGGCTCTTAATCTAAACCACATTTTTTACAACTCTGCTGCACTTGCTGATATAGCTCTTGCTTTTACAGTTTTTTTGACCCAGATCATCAATAGGTCAGGGTTCAGCCCTATGGTCTTTCCAGGGTTGGGTATCAAAATATTGTTACTTGCATCAGCACTGCATGTTGCCATGACATTCTTTGATCCATAGTCTGTTCAATCAATAAAAATAGATATTTTCTGTGGGGAAGATACAGCCCTGACAAACACTCAAAGGTATTACCCATAAGACTGAATGTTTTATTTTTTGCCTCTTGACATTTGTGTTTTTTTATTTGTGAAGGTTAACCCTGCTCCCTTGTGCTTGGAGGAGATACAGGCTATTCAGCTAGAACACAGATGGTCCTTACGAACTGTATCACTTAACTCCATAGTAGCCAACTTCACAGATATTTCAACTGACTGCTTAGTAACTGCAATTATATATCAGCATGTTTCACAATCCAAAAGGTACCACAGGAATCAGTTCAGGGCAGGGGTGGACTGACCATTCGGGTACTCGGGCACTGCCCGAGGGCCCTGGGTCAGTAGGGGGCCCCATGAGATGCCCCTGGTATCTTTCATAGGCTTTTTGGGTGTGATTTGAGTGTGGGTGAGGACACAGGGGCCCCATGATCCCCTATTGCCCGGGGGCCCCATAAGTTGTCAGTCCGCCCCTGGTTCAGGGTCATATTCGCTAAAGCATTTTTATTAGCAACTTATTGGCTGACCTCGAAACTAAGGGGTCTTTACTTTCAGATTATATTAGACAATGTAGAGCTATAAATGATAATAAACATATGAATTTACTTTAAATGGGCAAATTAAGCTTAAAGGGTAATTGCACTTTCATGAAAAAAAAAACATAGAAAATAGAAAACAATAATATAGCATATACAATTGCTACACAAACCATATTGTTTTCTAATGTTGTTAAAAATTACCTTTAATTTTCGCTGGGCAGTCAATGTAATTTTTTGTAAAATTCAATGCAATATGGCAACTTGCAGACCTTCTGTATACAGTTACTATACAGAACTTCCCCAGAAATGTCATTTTCTGCTTGTGTAATTGGCTCACTGATTTACAAGTAACATTTTTAGACATCTTTTTACTAGATACAAGTACAATTTTCAGCATCCTCTGCAAAAATAATTTTGATGAGATGTTCCTAAAGGTTAATTACTTATAAATGGATGCAGACACTGCAACTTTCATCATTAGAACACCAAGTACATCAGCTGACTACATTGACCACAGGCACTCCCATTCAGAAATCAGTATTCCAAGGACATAGTAGAACATACAGTTTTTTACTTAAGAACAGAAACTCTCCTACAAAGTTTGTTAAAATTGGTGATGGGCTGAAAACCCCTGTAATGAACGTTCAACCGCGAAGTTCGAACCCAGTGCAAGTCTATGGGACTTGAACTTGTAATTAAAAAGTGCCCATTTTGAAGGCTTATATGCACGTTATTGGCCATGAAAGGGGTATGGGGACTCGGGTACTGCCCAGAGGGACATAACTCAGTGACAAAATTTTTGCAAAAAAAGTTTTTTAAAGGAGCAGTCATTCTTAATTGCTTAAAATTAAAAACAATTCCTTTAAATAGCATGCCTGGGGGTCCCCTTACACTACCTGAAAAGTTGCACATCTGTACATTGTATAGAACCTGCTGCAGCAGGACTGACTCTTTTTTTATTTTATATATATATACAGTATATATATATATATATATATATATATATATAATTCCATTTTTCCAGAAGTGCATTTGTGAGGTAAGGCAATAATGTCAGACGAGGAGGCCTGGCTCGCAGTCCCAAAGGTGTTCTGTTGAGGTCAGCACTCTGTGCAGGCCAGTCACGTTCCTTCATTCCAAACTTGCTCATCCATGTCTTTAACCTCCCTGGCGGTATGATTATTTCAGATTTTTGGTGCTGAAAGCGGGGGGTACCATTTTTTTGCATGGAAATATGTATTTTTTTTTATTGTAGGCTGTAATTTTTAGGAAAAACTCACTGAAATCTGTCCGAACAAGAGTCTAGTAAACATCCCGGGTATGATAAAATTTGAAACACAAAATCATAAATTATAATTTAATAAATAATCATAAAAAATAATATAAAAATAATAAAAAATTTAATTCAATAATATAATCAAACCAAATACACTGAAATGTGAAATAGAGCGCCAAGTTCGCACATTGCTGAGCTCAGTCGCAAAATCGTTTTCAGTTTCTGATAACGAATTTCCCCCACGAATCATTATCACTCAATTCTGTAAGTGGTTCTGATTTACTATCGCTGTTCTCTAGCTGATCTAAACCGCTTTTGACCTAAAGGGACACTTTTTGGACGCCATGGACATTTCTCAGTTTCCAGGCAGAAAGAACAGACAAAATGCAGGCAGGGCGCAGGACAAAGCACTAGGGACAATATGTATGTGAAATAGGTTGAAACAGCAATGTTTTACTGTGTAAAATGAAAAAAAAAAAAAAAATGACATTTTTTAAAATTTTTAAATTTCCCGCCGCCGGCGGCTGCGGCGCCCGTACGTCCCGACGTCACAGGGACAGGACACAGAAGCCGGATGCCGGCATCGGCCGGAGGAGATGGCTGGGGACGCTGCAGGGGACACATCGTGGGAGCGCAGGGTAAGGTAAGTGAAGAACACATGCCGGAGCAGCGCCGCATGGTATTCCCGAGTGTAGCTCGGGGTTACCGCTTTTGGTACTGAAATGTTACCCCGAGCTACACTCGGGAATACCGCCAGGGAGGTTAAGGACCTTGCTTTGTGAACTGGTGCGCAGTCATGTTGGAACAAGAAGGGGCCATCCCCAAACTGTTTCCACAAAGTTGGGAGCATGAAATTGTCCAAAATGTCTTGGTATGCTGATGCCTTAAGAGTTCCCTTCACTGGAACTAAGGGGCCAAGCCCAACCTCTGAAAAACAACCTCTCGGCTCCACCAAATTTTACACTTGGCACAATGCAGTCAGGCAAGTACCGTTCTCCTGGAAATCGCCAAACCCAGACATGTCCATCGGATTGCCAGACAGAGAAGAGTGATTCAGCACTCTAGAGAACACGTCTCCACTGCTCTAGAGTCCAGTGGCGCCGTGCTTTACACCACTGCAACCAAAGCTTTGCATTGCACTTGGTGATGTAAAGGTTGGATGCAGCTGCTCAGCTATAGAAACCGATTCCATGAAGCTCTGTACACACTGCTGTTGTACTAATCTGAAGGCCACACAAAGTTTGGAGGTGTTTAGCTATTGATTCTGTATACAGTTGACAACTTCTGTGCACTCTGTGCTTCAGCATGCACTCACCCCACTCTGTTATCTTATGTGGCCTACCACTTTGTGGCTGAGTTGCTGTTGTTCCCAGTTTCTTCCACTTTGTTATAATACCACTAACAGTTGACTGTGGAATATTTTGTAGCAAGGAAATATCACGGGTTTACTTATTGCACAGGTGGCAACCTATCACGGTACCACGCTTGAATTCACTGAGCTCCTGAGATTGATCCATTCTTTCACAAATGTTTGTAGAAGCAGACTGCATGCCTAGGTGCTTGATGTTATACACCTGTGGCCATGAAGGTGATTTGAACACCTAAATTCAATGGTTTGGAGGGCTGGCCCAATACTTTTGGCAATATAGTGTATATTTATTGATGTGCAAAATCCTTACTGAGTGCAACAATAGAACAAATTATGTGCAAAACGGCAATAAAGTGCTCATGCTCTTTCAAGAACTATAAGTCCATAAAAAGTCCCATAAAATACAGTATATAGTGCAGTATTTATTTTTAAAAATGAGCCATACAGATGTTAAAAATATCCACATGGAAAACAAACAATAAGACTTTGCTGAACTATCTAAGATGGACGCTGACTTGGAAACCAGAAACGATGGTGTGATGTCAGCATGTAAGGCCCCATCTAGTGCGTTTAGTGCACATGCACGTCTTACAATATTTTGGGTGCAAAAATAATTTAAAATAAATGGACTCTTCACCTGTGTGAGAAGGAGCGTTAACCATATTTTGGCTTTTTTTTAAGGTTTTAATACATGGAAGTAAGTTATTGTTACCATACTTGGATAAAGGCAGTTTAATAGCAGTCCCTAAATATTTACATTTGTTCAAGATTTGCGGGGGGGCACTCCAGTGGATTTACCCCCTTTCCTGACCTGGCCATTTTTTGTGATACGGCACTGCTTTACTTTGACAATTGCACAGTTATGCAACACTGTACCCGAATAAAATGTATGCCCTTTTCCCCCACAAATAGAGATTTCTTTTGGTGGTTTTTGATCACTTCTGCGGTTTTTAATTTTTGAGTTATAAACAAAAAAAGACTGACAATTTTGAAAAAAAAAAGCCCAATATTTTTTATTTTCTACTATAAATCATATCCAATAGAAAATTTTTAAAAATCAAATTTCTTCATAAATTTAGGCTAAAATGTATTCTGCTACATATTTTTGTTAAAAAAAATCCCAATAAGCGTATATTGATTAGTTTGCACAAAAGTTATAGCATCTACAAGCTATGGGACATATACTGGAATTTTTTTAATATTTTTTTTTTAACTAGTAATGACGGTGATCAGCGATTTATAGTGAGACTGTGGTATTGCAGTGGACAATTTTACACTTACACTTTGTGTGAACCAGTGACACTAAAACAATGTTTAGTGCTAAAAATATACACTGATCACTGTACTGATCAAAGAGTTAAGTGTGTGCCTGGCTATGTGCTTGCTGTACACTAGGTGATGCTGGTACAAGGGGAAGCCATGGATCATGTTCCCAACTCAGTTCTGACACATGATTGATCACTCCTCCCTGTCAGAACAGAGATCTGCCTATGTAAACATAGGCAGAGCTCTGTTGTTCCTTCCTGCGGGAAGATCTGTGGGTGTCGGCGAACATCTGACAGTTTACAGCAAAGTGATTTGCATGACCACGTAATTGTCATTCAACGTGCGACAGTGCTGAAAGCTGAAAATTGGCCTGGCAGGATGAGAGTGAAAGTGCTCAGTATTGAGGTTGGTAAAAAAAATGTCTGTATTCAAGATCGATATTCTCGGTGTCAACTGTCCTTTTCAATGGATAAGCCATCCGGGCTTGTTTTATGTTTATCAGCTGCGCCCATGGTTTGTTCTATCTCTTCCCTAGTGATAGGGTCTTCAAGGAGTCATTTTTGGGTATAAGTTAGGGTGAGTAAGAGTATAGATTTCAAATATATGGAGAGAACTCCATTGTGCTTTGGTATTTGTATAATTGAGAGTAAAACTGAAGAAAGGAGTTCATGATTTGGTCAGTGGATGTATGTACAATAGAATGATGATCAATAATCCTAGGAAAGGGCAAAGGTTCAGCTAGAAAAGCAATCAGATGACCACTTCTGTCTACTAACCGAAAGACATGTTGTGACTGATAAAGCAGTTATTTTAGCTTTTTTTTTCATATGTGAAAGCCAATTTGTACAACCTTTGTGAGTCCTTCTAAATTTGATACATCTGTAAGATCAGTTTTATTTTCTAGAACCTTTTTATTCAAATTAAGGAATTTTCCTCCATTAGCTTTTTTAAGCTGAGCCACCTCAGGCATATGGGAGCCTTTCATTATGGCCTTGAAAGCATCCCATTTGAGACTCTCAGAAGCTCTCTGATTGCTTTCCTGCTAATAGTGATTCATAATTATAGTAATATGTGAGCTATAAATACAGGACACCACATCCTTATAATGTGATAAGTGTAATGTTGAAAGTTGACTTTTCTGATGCTCACAAAATGTACAAAACATTTTAAAATTGTACAAATTTGATAATACAATATATAAGAATACATTCACATAATGACAACATTATATTGAAATAAACATATCCTGCATATAGAGCAGCAGGAATATGAGACTCCCAATGAGAGTCATTTTACATGAGTAATCTACTGGAATGCAATATTCATGGGGGATGAAACCTCAATGTGTTTTATGTATGGGTACCCTGCTTCTTCAGGAGAAAAAAGGGAGGTCAATAATTCTACAAGTAAACAAAATATTAAGACATTACATACAAGTAAATATACACTTATAAACCATATAGGTAAACATTGTTGGCTACCTGTACACTACTGGTCCCACAAGAATTATAATCCATGCCTCAGATTTCCCCCATGGGGTGAGCATGGGGATATACACGGAACAAAACTGGAGGGGAGAAAATAGAAAATTTAATTGGTCAAATGATCCTATAGTATATTACAAATGTCAAGATATGAATCACTAAATGTGAATGCCCAGTGGATGTGTTACTTGTAGGATTAGCTCCAAAGGAGTGTGATAATAAAACAGCTTTAGACAAATACCATATTATGCAATATACCAGTAGATGTAAAGAACATATCTAGCTTGGAAAGAGTACTGTGCGAATGAGATTGACAGCAGTACTCTCCCTGTGATCAGGGTGCTTCCAACTCCATACTTTGACAAGATTAAATCTCTTCATCCAATCCTTTAAGACCAGGGAGTACGTTCTGCTGCTATGGAATCTATCATGTAATGGGTCCATTACTGTATTAAACCAGCTATAATGAAGACACCCTTAGCTACATTGAGGATCTTACCAATGCATTGATTTATTCTGTGGACATCAAACTGTGGAGGTGAACCAGTCAGGTGAGTCTCCTGAAGGAGTATATTATGTAGCTTAGTTTGTTTAATCATTGCAAATGCTAGGGATCTCCTTCTTTTATAATTAAGACCCTGGCTTTACACAAGCAATGGACCAAAAGGTGCATAGAAATGTACCTGATAAAGATAACCCTAGTCCATCAAATTAAAAGCATAGAGTAGAAAGTACAACAGGTGAATATCAGAACACCAAAAATTGCCCAATCTCACCGCCCGGCTTATTGAACCAACCTGCAATGAGCTTTTTCCCAAACACAGTAGAAACTTGTGGGGACTTGTCCATGCCGACCCCTAAAAAAGATTCAAGAAAAAAGCAGAGACAGTCCAAACACAATAAAAGTTTGGTTAGCTAAGAATAGAATAATGTCTATTGGAAAGTAGCAACAATGCAGCTCAATGGAATAGAAATGGTATTGCAACATCAGTCCATCTTTGTAAGATGGAGTGGAGGAGATAATTCTGCATACTAACAGTACCATAGGGAGGTCCATGATATCCAGTTAGAATGCTGAGATGTAAAGAGAGTCACAGATGAGTGATTTGATCATTTGTGCTAATAGGGCATGGATCATAATGTTCTTTCAGAGTGTTCAACCTGGAAAAGAACATGTAGAGAAGGGGCTTTGCCCCACATGGTAAACTGCAGAAAAGAAAAAAAATAGTGTGAAAATAAAGATATCCCAGCATGTCCCAGGCCATCCAGCCATGCTGCAGCCTCCACAGGGGAGGAGAAGAGCTGCGATTTGCTGTTATATATCACCCTGAGTTTTACAGGGTATTACATGCTGTAGGTTAGGTTTTCTTTTTTTTCTGTAGTTGTCCTTTTACCATTAGGAATGCAGATCCTAGTTTTTGACTAGTTACAGAGAAATCAGGGAAAATCGTGATCTTATTATCATTGCATTTAATTTCCTCTAATTGCAGGCATCACGCAAGATAAGTTCCTGTAGAATTTTTGCTATTAATAGATGTGGGGGTGCACAGGGGGCAGTGTGTGCATAGGTATATGGAATGCCCTCCCAATGGTGAATAAGGAAGAAATCTCATCTGAGCCTATAAGTGACTTAAGCCAGTTTTCCAGAAATGTTTCAGGTTCCATGCCCTCCACTTCTTCAGTGAAACCTTAAAATTGGAGATTGTTGTGATTGAGATAGTCTTACAAATCTCCCAATTTAGTGGATTAATCAGTCAGATTTTTTCTGCATAGTACACAAATGTGCATTCAGAGGATTGACTGTATCATCCATGTAGTTTTTTCATGTCATGTTTCATAATAATAATGTCTAGTCTGACTGAGTCTAATTCAGTAGTCACTACAGCCTGTCATGTAAGTATAGCCTCAATTACATGTTTAAGAGTGAGCTTTTTGGCATCCTGCTGAGCATGGGTCCCCTGGGTGTCTTTGTTGAGATTGTCAGCAATTTCCTGTGAAGCCTGAGTTAAGGTATCACAGTCAACCCAATCCCTCACAAGGTTAATGGTACCTGTGTCATCATTAGCATCTTGTATGTCTTACAAATACAGTGATTAGTGCAACGCTACAGCATCAGTAGTAAATCACAGAAAATGTGTAAACAAGTTAATTTATCTTCATTGCAGTGCTTCCATCCTTCTTTCCTAATATAAACACCACTTGCTCCAAACCATAAGGGTGCAAAACAACTCCACCACCAATTGTTTGCTCACCTCCAGCAGTGTGACCTTACATATTATTATGTTTGGTCTAACTGCGCTTTTCGTCCCAGTGGAGACACTGAAGTTGAACTTGATGGCCCCCAGTTACCATTCACAGCTTCTCCAGAATTGAACTCCATCCATCATATCACCTCATGAATAAAAAAACTCCAACTAGTGCGTAAACTTTA